CCCAGACAACCTGAGCGGTCTGGATGGTTCATAGTTATTCAGAAGGTCACTCATGTATTTTTGGCCCTAAAACATTCAGTGCTTTATAAACCAGCAGCAGTATTTTAAAATCTCTTCTCTGACAGACTGGGAGCAAGTATAAATTGCTCTTATTTATATGCTTATATATGCTTCATATTTGTTGCTCTGGGACCACATTGAAATATTATTAGCCAGAGTGGGTCTGACTCACCAACAAAGTAACGATTCAAAACATTATTAGAGTTCTTTTCAGTTAATGATAAGAAGCTGACATATTGCAGTCAAAAAAATGTATCTAAAATTAATAGTTCATAATAAATGCACAGGTGAGAAAATTATACTACAGCACAATACTTTTTCACAGAATGCTTATAGTTTTTATACAAAATAAATATTCATCAAATAGTTGTGCTCTTAGATTTGTAAAAATAGAATTCAAAATACTCGACTCGTTGTAATGAACTGCTGTCCTGTCATAAACTGAAGGCCCATGACATAACGTGTTTGTGAAAGTCGTGAACAGAATCTAATGTGAGCACACACACAAAAAAAAGTTTAAAGAGCTAAGACTGTGATCCGGTCATTTGTCCACTTGAGTGTGTCTCCCGGGGGGTTGGGGGGGGGGGATCAGTAGTTTCTGGACTAATGAATGAAATGACCTCAGGGGTTTAATTGCTTCACTCAGCTTAAGGCTGTGGTGTTATATTGATCCTTTCACTCTGTATGTCAGATCCAATGAAGTAAGACATATCTCTCTGAAGAACAGTGACTCATTTCTGCACATCATCGGTGTGTCATTACACGTGACCGAGAGTCTGATGGTTCTCGTGTGTCATTGTTTTAATCATTCCTTTTTTTCTGTCACTGTAAAAACTTTTTTTGACGTATAACTGCTCAGCGTTTGACTTCAAAAAGCTAATTCCTTTTTATCTGAAACATGATAGCAGGATTTCTATCTAAGGCCTGAAGATCATCTACAAATTAAGGTGTGTTTTGTCACGCTGGATGACTCAACTTATTAAACACACACACACACACACACACACACACACACACAGAACTCCATCACAATCAAAGAAGCCTAAGCGGAAATTGCAGCGGGTAGAGATAATTGTTTGCTGTGGCCTCTATTGAAGCTGTGGTGTCATTCTAGGTAAGAGTCTGCCTGACTCTAATTTAATATTCCCCTGAGAGAGCTCAGCTACAGCTTCCTGTTGCGAGATGCCTCACGGATATAAACAAACAAAGGACACCTCGGCCCGTCTTTCAGGGTATCTCATCACATCCAAGGATGTTGACAAAATATTTGATTATTACTCCCGACATATAAATGACATAGCGGCATTGAGAATAATCAGTAAAAGTATTCATAAAGTCTTTTTAAAAAGAAGACAGAAAAGACTGGAATTTCAATTCATCTCCCATTTTGTAAGTGACCCCAAATAAACCAACTTGTCAAATTCAGCAGCTTGGTTTGTTGCCCTAAGCTTCAAAAAAAGACAATGAAAGTACCACAGTCACACTCAATTGTGGCCATAAACCAAAATTAAACCTTCCTGACAAGTTACACATTAATTTGCTGTTGGATGTGTAACAAACATTAAAAGTTTGTTATTGTGACCGAGCGACTCAATGACTGTTGGCAGCGAACACACTCAAATATACATACATACAAACTTTCCCCCCTCTTCTCCATCCAGTTAAACTCACCTTCATCCTTCTTTACCTCTCTGTCTCATAGCGCAACCATTGGTGCACTCTTCAGAGCTCTTCATCTTATGTATTTACACAACTTTAAAGCACTCTTCACTGTTACTGTACGTGCGTTACATAGGCTCTTCACAGCGTCCCGTTTGTGTTAATTGAGAAAACAGAGCGCATCATATCCGCATGTGAAAAAGTTAAGCCTTGCATTCATTCACAATCACTTGATAAGCGCTATTAAATCTTCTGCTTGTTTTTCTAAGTTAACTTCGTTATTGTGTGTCGTGGTTTGATGTAAAATGTTATAATTAAATGTTCATATTAAAGGGTATAGGAGTTTAAAAATGTAAACTGTGGATGGATAACACGTCTCCATGTTTTCCAGTAGTCCTAAAGTGAAGGCAAAAGACCCCCAAAGAGGGACATTGAGATTTTGTGCTGGTAATGTCATTTTGAGCCAGAGATGGCGAACTAAAGATCTGCTGCCCATGCAACAGTAATGAAGGATACAATAAAACAGCAAAAATCAACCAGGTAGGTAAAGTCCACAGCAGAGAATATTCTAGTGTTGGATTGAAGCAGACACTCACAGTTATGAAAAGTTCAATGACTAGTGTGTCATTGAGTGTTTCTTACGTTTCCTTTCACCACCTCTGCTCTACGCTGCGCTGCAGGGGCTGGAACTCAATCTCCTAAAGGAGAGTCCTGTGTTTTTTTGACTCATCCATCATCCTTGAACAGCATACTAAGCAGATTTTTTGCCATCTCTAAACGATGACAAATTAGTTTAATGCCAAAACACAACAATAAGCTACTGGCAGCCTTCTCAAATTGAATGGCACCCACACTGTGACATATTTCAGGCCACTGTCCAGACCGCCATATTTGATGGACTGAGTTTGTAAACTTAAAACCCTTCCAGAACTTCACATTAGTTTGTCCAGATCAAAGAGATGACACTGAATGCACAAAACATCTTGATGAAAGATTTGCAAAGTCCAAAGAGTGCTGCAGCATACTTAGTCCTGCAGTGTTCTCAAAGTCTCCGTCTTTGATTGATCTTCCTCCTTTAATCTACTTCTCCATCTTGAAATCTTCGGCAGTGAGGGCTTTTCTTTTACTTCACTGATTCAGGGGACTCTCTCTTCTATACTTTGTACATGTTCTTCTTTGCTTTGGTGGGTTTTTTGAGCGGGGGTACGTTTAGCTGGGTGATCTCACAATCAAATTAAGGTACATTTAGCAGGGAATTGCAAGTGAACCTTATGGATAGGCTGAATATTCCACAGTTTTTGCTGATAAATCATGTTGGATTTTGAACATTGTGCAGTGTTGCAGTGGTTAGGGCTTGAAGGTGTTTGGTTCACATACCTGGGCAGACAGGGGCTCCTCTGTGTGGCGTTTGCGTGTTCTCCATGGGCATGTGAGGATTCTCACAGTGTACTCCAGCTTCCTTCCACACTCCAAAGACATGATCATTAGGTTACTTGGTGACTTTAAGTTGGAAGTGTGAGCAGATGCTTTGTCTCTTTATTTTTGCTGTGTGATTGACTTGCAACCAGTCCAGGGTGTACCCTCTCTATCGCCCAATGAAAGCTGGGATTGGATTCAGGCATCTCAAACCCCAAACAGGAGAAGTGGTATAGAAAATGGATGGAAGGGTTTTGGTACAATGATAATAAGACAATCCGGGTTAAAGATCCTGTTCCTTGTCTTCTGTATGAAGAGTCACTGAGCCCTCCAGACAACAGTGGACCTTTTCACCAAAAAGTTTGAGCTATTAATCCGTCCTTGAAAAGTGACACTTTTCTCCTAAGTGTCCTCTTGTGAAGTTTAAAAGGATTATATGAAGCCTCTCTATTATGTTAGGGGGGAAATTGGGTTATGGACACTCTGCAATATGACAGCAAGCAGTTTTTTTTTTTGCTCATGATGAAGCCGGATGCTGACAGATCTGAGGACTCTTTCAGGATTTATAACTGCAGTGCTCTCTGAAGGAATCCTCAGTTTGAGCCCCCTCATCTTCTTTCTTACAGGTGGAGTATCGGGCCCTCGAGTGCTCAAAGGACTCTACCACACAGCAGACAGTTGTTCCTTTTTTTGGGTTGTTGTAACCATTGCAAACACAGGAGGAAGCTGGTTTTAGGTGCTTCTATCATTTTCTCACATTTCCCCTGACCTCAACTTCCACAGCTCTCAGTTCAATCATTTCTGTATTCGGTTGAGTGAGCAGCACTGCTGTCAATCAGACACTTAAAAGACTTTTAAATCCAGTGAAGTTTTTTTTTCCATCTTTTTTGGGGGATTTTTGGTATGCACAAGATCCCTCATTCAGCTGCTCATCATTGGCCCTAATGAGAGCACATAGACGGCTAAAGAGCAGTTAAGAGTGGAGAAGAAGTCAGCTTCTGAATGGCTCACTTGGACAGCCCATTCTTCATGCTTAATTTTCATGTACTGTAGGTGTGAAGACAGACAGCTGGCCTCCGAATAATCTGAAAGACAGCAATTGATACAGAAGAGAGGCTCATTAATCTCATGTTATTAAAGCTTCTGCTGTGTGTGGAATATAAATAACGTCGAGTGTGTGGCTCCCAGCATTAGAACCCATTTGTTAGAAGCCATTGGATTTTATAATGAGTCTTATTCTGGATGTCACAGTGGTTAAACATAGAGCAGCGTGTCCGATGTGTTTGTGATATATTTGATCTGCAGGTCATGGCTCTCTTCAATTCAATTCAATTCAAAAAACTTTATTTGTCCCCGGGGGGCAATTCAAAGGCACACAGAGCAGTAAATTAACAACAGTGCAAGTAGACGAAACATTTTAACCTAAATATAAAGTGTCAATTTAAATACAACTTAAACTTAACTTAAAAATACTAAATATATAAGAGTAGATATAAGTGGACAGTGATCGGACTAACAGATGTAAACAGATGTAAGCAGAACTATGTGCAGTAAACGAGAAATAAATATATATATACAGAACTATATGCAGTAAACGAGAAATAAATATATATATATATACAGTACTATGTGCAGTAAACGAGAAATAAATATATATGTACAAAACTATATGCAGTAAACGAGAAATAAATATATATATATACAGAGCCATGTGCAGTAAACGAGAAATAAATATATATATATACAGAGCTATGTGCAAGTAGTGACCAGATGTAAACAGACCTATGTGCAGACTCTTGTGTATGTCTCGTTTTGGTTGGTTAGGGTAAAAGAGAGTGTTAACTTCAAATTGAATCTCCTTTCAGTTGGATGCAGACCGAGATGAGGAGGAAGTCTTCTGTGACATCAGCATGACACTGGACAACAAATTGTTTCCCTCCAAGGAGCCAGCAGCAGGTAAGATTAAGGCTTTTATTTTTAAACATAACAGTGCAATAACTCAACCTAACCCTAACCCTTTTTTTTGTGTCAAACCACTCCCAACCCATTTAACAAGGGTTTTTTTCATTTATTTGTTATATTGAGTAATTATTGCAGTCTTAGATTAACAATGTAAGATCTAATTAGATGAATTAGAAACAGAGGGATGCTGATGTTGTATTAGAGGTAAGGACAAGTGTCTAAGTAAAACTCAAATTGTTAAATCAAAAGGAAAGTTCTACATAAAGAGTCTGTATAAATGACAGAATATATAACTGCAACACAGTTATTTCATACTGTGTGTGTGCAAACTATAAAGCTTTACAGTATATGCAGCCTGATGCTAATGAAGTGGTATTCTCTGTGGGTTAATTGGTACGTTATGTGTAACATCGTCCCCATTCACAAAAAACAACAACGTCATTATCCGCCGGCTACCTTCATGTGACCATTATCATGGTTACCATCAAAGTCTGCATGGCAACCAGGGAAGCAGAGGGAGCCATGCTTTGTGAGAAGTACAGAATCATCCAGGAAAGATTCACGCTTTGTTCAGTCAGATGGTGTTTGTTACGTAAAACCTGATAATTTATTGATTTAAATAAAAAAAATGTGCCAGACAGATGACAGTCCTGAGTGTCAGTTTTGTATCATCAGATCAGTGTGCTCTTTGCAGGTGTTCCTGCTGTGATTTCACATGCTTTAGTCAAACAAAGACGTAACCGCTGGTACAGATCAGAGCTAAAATATGTGTGTTATATTTTTTCATTTTAATTAAGTGTAGGCAGAACCTGTAACTGCTCTAACACAACACAGTGAGCCCACGTCTGAGTGAGCACAATGAGATCATTATTTTAAGTAAGTAAACTGGGAACAGAAGGGCAAACAGACTGACTTTTTTACATAAACAAACACCATCAACATTTGCAGAATCATTTAGAATTGCTTATGAAAAATTTACTGAAATATTATTACCACATGGAGAGAAAGAAGAGATCAATACTACTACCTATAGTCTGTCTTTAAATCCATGTCCCCTTTTGGCAGAGCCGGTTTAGGTCAGGACTTTACGCCTTTTATACACCGTGCTGTCTGTGTAAAACATACAGAGGCAGAAAGGTGGAGCCAAATGGTCCCACTGTTAAGCCAGCAACAGAGAGCGATGGAGACTGTAAGTTAGCCAAAATTGCTCAACCACACGTGTCTAGGGTTTATCATTTTATCTTACATGAGAAACATAGTGTCCACACAAACCCTCACATCACTGTTGAGTTGAGAGGCAAAAAGAACATAGGAACCTTGGTTACAGGCATCCGTCCATGGCACAAGCGGATAAAAAACAAGGTGCGACCATGGGACATAGCTTCCCTGTAACTTACCAACACAGTATGTCTTATAGGTGCATTCCACAATTTCAGCTGTTACAAGTGACAGAGGTGTAACAAAAGGTGAAAAGACAGAGTCAGCAGGACGGAGCATCACCGTGTGTAGTCTTTATAAAAGGGCTCATGGCTGCATATAGCTGGTTAGCTTAGCACGGCATCAAGAGTGGAAATGGGCAAGCAGCTCAAGCTTGACTCTGCCAGGAGTGACAGAATCAGCCAGACAACTACTCTCAAAACAACAACAACAATGTGGTCAAGAGCATGTCCCAATATATTTCTTTACTGGTGCAGTTTCTTCCTGTGACACTGACAAACAATAGATGTTGCTCCACTTTTTCTATTCCTGACACGCGTGCTTTCTACGCTACATTTCCGGTTATTTATCTGCCTATACAATATCTGAAACAAATAGCTGCCATAAGGTCAAACTGGCATACTTATTGTCCTTTCCATATGTGTGTCATTCTGCTTAGATTCTGGCCCATAAAGGAGTTTATTTTGTTCATAAAACATCTATTCAAAAGGTTGAAGATATATGGTGAAGTTCGAGCTAGCTTCTGTGACTCATTTTAATGTCTCATTAAGCTCTTCTTTTCATTCATCTTGTTATTGCTCTTATTACAAACTCACATGACATTAATGCAGCCCCCTGTACATGCCGCTCACCACTTTTCCCAATGAAGACAACAAACACTACAAAACTTACTAAGAAACACACAAAAAATACTGTTTTTGTGTTGGTTCCAAAATAGTTAAAAATGTCAATGAGGTTTGGTACTGTGGAAAGGTTTGAACAGCTCAGTCATACAACTTAAGGTATCTAGTAAAGGTTTGTTGTGTTTTGTGTTCTATAGATACAAAGTAGAGGTTTTTATTTGATTGCTCTCTTATCTATTTGGTGAATAAAGCTTCATATATACATTTAGATCATCCTGAAGGAAAAAGGATCAATCCTCTTTTACTTTTTCTAAAAGACTCTGCATTTGGATCTCGGTTTGGAGGTTGCCCTTAACTGTTCCCATTAAAAGCAGTCTCAGAACAACCTGTTTTTTAAGCTTTATAAATAAACTTGACTTGGCTCGTTTCATCTTCATGCCTCATTATGTCACGCCACGCAGCGTGCAGCACAGCAGGAGGCTGCGTAGGAATGGTAGGAAAACAGTGAACAGTGTTCATTAGTGACAACGAATGTTCTTCAAAATCATTGTTAGCAGTTTGTAATTGTTGAGAGTGTGGAGAAGATTTGCCTCTACACTTTCACTCAGGAGGAAACATAGACCTTTGTGTCAGGAGGTGCAGAATCGTCATGAGAGGACATATGGCATTTGTATATAACTTGTGTTTTTATTTTATTCTTTGTATCTGTGTGCTGTTCTATTGGTGTTACCTGCTGCTGTAATCTGAATTTCCTGAGGGAACCTTCCCAAGGGATTAATAAAGTTCTTATCTATCTATATATGTTTAGCTTCAGAGTTTTTCTGACAAAATGATCCCCTCGCTTGTGTTTCAGTAAGGAAGCAGTCATGAGGAGAGCACAGTTTGGATATTGCAACAGTATAACACCATTTTAACTTACAGCCTCTCTGCAGAGTCTGGCATTAGCTGGAAAAAGGACAGCTGCATGATGGGACTGAGGCTCACAGTCCCAGTGATCCTTGACATCGAAATTGTTGTTTGCTACTTGAGAGCCGCCTGACACACTCCTGCACCACCTCTCATCACACTTGAGAGCAGTGTGCATTATGACAGGACACTAAAACACCAAGCACACACAGGTGAACACCACTTAGTGAATAGTCTTACAACGCTGCAAAATGAGACATTCAAAGCTCTCATCTAGAAGGCCAGAAGAAAGCCAGACGTCCTCTTAATATTTTCTTATTTCATACTAAATGATCACATCCGTTGCTTCACAGTATATCATTAAAGTTGTTATTTAGGGCACAGCTAGCAGAAAGCTCCCTACCAAGAATCCATCAGTCATGTAAGTGCATTTATGTGTTTAGGAGCAGGATGACATGTCTACATTTTTCCAGATGTTCTTTGGAGCCTTGGAAAAGGGGTTGTGCAAAGAATTTTAAAAAATTGGAAAAACACCCTGAGTGCAATACAAAAAGGAATATCAAAGGGTCTATTTCGGCACCTATACATAAAAAAAAAGAAGTAAAATACAAGTCATATGGGGCACGCTGGTGGCGCAGTGGTTAGGGTGCGCGTCCCATGTATTGAGACTCTCGTCTCATTCCCCACTCTCTCTCCCTGGTTTCCAACTCTATCCACTGTCCTCTCTCTGCATTAAAGGCACGAAAAGCCCAAAAAATAAATCTTTAAAAAAAAAAAATACAAGTCATATGCAGGGCGAGCTTTTTACGTTGGCTGCTGTCTGATCGTAGCTGCTGGGTAATCTAAAGTATGGTTTAACCCTGAAATGAAGCAGATTTTAAAACAAATCCAATGTCTAGCAGCTGATTATTGGTGTGAAAAAAGCTCTTGACATATTATGTGAAGTGAAGTTGATTGGCCAAAGAAGAGGTTGAGAACAGGATAAACGTAGAAGAAGAAGGCAGCAGAGAAAATAAATTAAAGTGTCAAGCCAAGTGACACAAAAGTGTTTTGAATAAATATATTAATCCTGCATTTGACCTTTATAGGGTTGTTTGTATTCTTCAGTTAATCAGATATGATGTAAAAGATAACGTGTAAACGCACAGATGTGTTCAGACGCTTCTCTGACTTGTCGATCAGTTTTTACCTCTTCTATCCTCCTTTCATCGCTTTTACTCCATTTCCATCAACAAACAAACAGATGTCAAATTAGCCAGACTTCTTTCGCAAGATTGATAAGTTTACAGTTTGTTGTTAGGGATGTGTTTCTTATCACAGACTCTGCAGGACTGTCTGCTTTTTTTTAGATCACTGCTGTGAAGAATAACAAACCGTTACTATCGGTGAAAGCAGATGCCTAATTGGCCAATCACAATCAAGTATTGTTAACATGATGTATCATTACACGATTGTCTCGCAATTGCAGAATTGCTGTATTGTGATATTATTGTTATTGATGGCCACATACTGTATTGTGTATCCTATAATCTTGTATCTTGAGTTAACCTGCAGCTCCCATCCCTAGTGGTCATGTGTGTAATCTCAGGCTTCAACCTTATTTCATCTCACACATCAGCCTTTAAATTTACTTGAAACCACAAGACAGAGTTTATAAATAGCTGTTCAGGAAAGCAGCTAAGATACATTTCTTCCGAGTCCTTCTGTTGCTCCTTGAGCCATATTTTTCCCAGGAGAGGAGAAACTGCTGCCAGTCTCCGCCAGCCTCGCCCATCATTGCTCTGTCATTATCTCAGCAGCACATGTGAACACACCTGAGGTGCTGCATGATGCCTGTAGCACGACACCTATGGCTTCCACCACAAAACAAAAATGTCCTCGCTGTCATACCTCAGCACATCACTTTTCAAAGTCCAGATCCCTCCTGACATGTTTGCTGACTCTTAGCCTGTGAACTGCAGAGAGGAGCCAGGACAATTTGGTTGTTGTTGGCTGACTTTCTCTGACACTTTTATAAATGTATTTATAAAATAACTCAAATAAGAAATCCTCAGCTGCTGTCTCTCTGGAAGCTTGTTGAGCATTTGAAGCTGCTTCCTCCAAGAATCTAATCCAGTTCTCGAATCGAGAGGAGGCACTGGCAGGAAGGAAAGAAAATGCGCCGAGGGGAAGTGTTATTCACGACCCATTTCCACCGAGGACGAGGATGAAGATGCTTTATGTTAGAACACATCACTGCATCACCCTTTGCAGCTTTCTGACAGGGAGAAGTTTAGTTTCAGATCAGTTTTTGTCATTGTTCACATGTTGTTGTTCTGGTGCAATAAATAAGCTGGTGAAGGAATGTGAAGGGATCATGAAATATGTATGGTAACTCTATACAGGCATCCATGCTATTGCAATGTTTGTTTTTATTTTATTTATTTTTTGGGGGATATTCTATTTCTGATCTATCCAGATTCTGAAATGTGAGGCCTTGCTGCATTTCTCATTATGCACAGCCAAATTGTAGTTTGCATGCATTATGGGGACAACTCAGTTATATGCTGTGTCCAACTGGCATGTACCAAGTTAGCTGCAGGTGTCTTCCTTTTTCTGAGGTGATTTCGAGAAACAAGAATGACCTCTTCCAACTACTCCAATCTGGCAGACAACATAAACAGCTTTCCCCCCCAAAGCTGTTGAACACCTGAACATGACCTTACCCATGTAGGAATTTGATGTGTGCACTTTGGCACCAACCAAAGATCTGAGTGCAACACATGGGGCCGGTATGCCTCCCCTTCATAGACAATGTTGACAAGCAAAATTTACCGTATCCTGTTCCAGTTTCTAAAGTGTGAAGATTTCTTGAAGTTCTTTGTTATTTAGGAAACTTAGTATATTTTAGTTTGGACTTTTGGTTTACATTTCATGTTAATGTTTAAAACCATACATTGAAACAGACTGGGGATGTTTGATGTCTTGCTCTCTGAATAAACTCCCGTCATCTGTTCCCTGATTTAAAGTATACATTTGTTTGTTACATACATGTTTTATATATAAAAGAGACTGATGAAATGTAGAAGTCACCAAGACAGCTGAATAGTCAAGACTAGAAAAAGAAGATACATTTTGTATGAGTGCAACTTTAAAAAAAAAAAAGAACAAGGTTGTTTATTTTTTGGCAAAAGAAAAGGCCCAAAGGTCACTGAAGCAACTGTCATGAAATGACAATGAGAAAGGAGTCATATAAAGAGAGCTCACATGTCCCTGGCTCCCACTCTCAAAGTTTCACAGTTGGTTGCTCTATGTTTTTCTCCCGTCAGGTCCCAGTGAGCTGGACCTCAGTCTTCTGGGAGAAACCAGCAGTCTGGCAGATGTTGCCTGCAAGAACGAAGAGGTAAGACTAAAACCCATTTCTTCTTCTGAGAAGTGATTCAAAATGTCTTGATACCTGTTCAGTTTGGTTTACTTTAACTTTAATTTACTGATGCTTTCTTTTTCTTAAACTTTTATTTGTCATCATTTCTCTAAATGCAAGCTTCCCTGATGCAGCTGTCCCTTCCCTTTCATTGGAGCACTATAAGACATTATTTTGATAAAACTAAGTACACCAAGGAGAGACAAATGTGTTTTTGATTTTGGTCTAGACCTGCCATTTTTGCAAAGAGTGCCTAAATAACTTCTGTTGTTCAGGTTTTGATCTTGCTTGCTTGCTTGCTAAGACATGGGAAAACTCAATAATCTGACTTTTATCATAGCAAATGGGACGATTGAGGTAACTTATAGGATCCAGACCTAAATCAAAGGATAGGGATCAAACTGCCAGTTTTAAACTGCATCATATTACATTGGGGTAATTTGAACCTAGCACAGAAAAGTGCATGCAGTTTTACTGAGACAATGAGGCCTTAAACTCAATGTGTGTTATACATTAAAGATAGCCAATGAGTCTTCCCCTCGATTATTGTCGATTACTGAAATTTGTTTCAGTATTGGAGTCTGTGGTAACTTAATAATCATTCCATTGTCCTTTCACAGAAATGATTTTATCTTAACACAATCAAATCAATCAATTACGTGCAAAAGCATTCCTCCCTCACATTTCCACACCTGCTGCTTTGACTTTCCTCTACTTTAATTCACAAAGCTTAATGACATCTGAAGATTAATGGGGAGCTCATTTGACAGGCCGTATGATTCAGCACATGCACAGAGATAGAGACTGTCGATGTTGTGTAATGTTGGCAGCAAGGGTAAAGACGAGCATCGCTCCTCCACATAAACCTGTGGCTGAAGTGAAGAATAACCCTGAGCCTCTCTCTGTCTCATTCCCCATCCTGAGAGTGTCTGGAAACAGATTACTCAGCTCTCCGCCTCTCTACCTTCAGCTGCTCTCTGTTACTTTTTTAGGTTTGTTTACTTTCTCGATCAAGAGTTGCTTTCTAATGGAGGTTCTTTATTTGTGTTTGACTTTCTTAAAGCATTCTCTTCTAGCATTACTGTTTCTTCATGTTTACACAGTGCATTGAATTTAAAGTTGGCAGCTGCATTTAATAGCAGTTTTCTTTGACTTTGAGTATTTGCTTCAGCTGTAATTAAATAAAATATGTTCACGTTATGCTGTATTCACACATTCCCAAAATGTGCAGGATGATCTGTGTCAATTTTTGGCATGAAGTTATGCTGAGCTGATGTGTGAACTAGGGATGTGCGCGTATAGTCAGGTAAATGGTTAGATATTTTTGTTAGGATTACGACTACAGTGTTCTTTTAATGTCATGTCCATTCCCTGAAATCCCCCATCCATGTCAGAAAGGAAAAACTTCCCGCTGCAGACAAATGGAATATTTGTAAAGTTTCGGACGCAGGTTGCTTTGGGATTTTCTACAACAGTTTCTATAAAATTCTTAAATTTCAGCAGTGCATGTATAAAAACATCTATGGACACATGCATATTTGTGTGTAACGGCCATGTCTACATTTTATCCTATGTCAGGGTGTAAAATCATTCTTAGTTACTCAGTGAAGTTGAATGCAAGCAGCCAATAAAGAAATAAAAGGTTCCATCAGTTCATAAGCCAGCATGAGCCACTTGGCAATTTAACCCAGCGTAATAAAACAAGATGAATGTAGTCTTGAGAGTCTGATATGTTTAAGCGTTGGACACTGATTGGTTGATTTAATGATCAACCTCATACTGCCCTTATTATGGACTTTGGTTTTTTACCCTCATGCGCTTTATTTAATTGCATTGTTTACTTACCATGAAGCTGGTCACAGCATGTGGTCTCCTTCAGCTGTGTTCACAAACAGAATTACTCACACAGTCTGGAGCTTTTAACCTGACAGACATCCTGCTGAGAGTCTCCTGAGCTTCATGTCCAGGCTCAGATTAATCTTATAAAACTCTCTTAGTCATGCCTGATGAGAGTGAACTTTAAGTGAGGCTGATCAATAATTTACCTGCTCGTCATCACTCAGAGCCTAAAACCTTGAAGGATAAACATGGAGCGGCTGGAGGACGATAAGAGCTTCAACAGCCGACTTGTTGAAGACAGTGGCGTTCATGTTTGTCGCGTTCTGTGGCAAGCAGTGACGCAGTTTTCTCTGAAGTGGAATGAGGCCGCCGTGCAGCCTTGTCATACCACATTTGTGGCCTTGGATGTGACATGAAGATGGATTTTGTGAGCCTGCTGATCTACTGAAGGCAGCGGGGGGGGGGGCGGGGGGTGCTATTTTTAGGTGTGTACAGTGTCAGAACACATGGACAATTTCCAACAATTCTTTCTTCCTTCTCACCACGTTTATTTACTTTTACTTCTATTTTCTGATGAACCACCATAGAATAAGGATTGGATTTGCATTTCTGAGAATATTCAGCTGTTAAATGACACAATCACATTCCCATAACTCAAACATGTGCCATAAATAGGAATCATTTTATCAGTAAAACAACTACAAAGATTACTAACATACATTTTTTAAACACCCAAATTAAAGATTCAAGAGCTTCTCTCTGTAGTCTCGCAACTTCTCTAAAAAATAACTCAGTGTACAAATCCACCAGAAAGGAAAAAGAAAGAGTACAGAGAAAATGTCCAAGAATCCAAAAATGACGATCTAGTTTGAAATTTGACTTTGTTGTAGATTCCCTCATTATAATTTAAAACATCACTTTTCCGTCTGCTTTTTCTATCGAGTTCTGCTGGAACTATTTTGCTGATTTGTTGGTAAAAGTAACAGTTCCTTTCAGTCAACAGGGGACGTATAAAAATGATGCTTCGGCACACAGTAAATGTTGCAGTTGAGTACAGTTTGACTTGACAAAAAGTATTAAGGGAAATGAAGATACAACTATGTGAAGATTGTACTTTCCTACAGAAAGAGGAAGGGTTAAGCTGCTTTCCTCATCATGAAGCTGATGATGACAAAGCCCACCAGAGTGTCTCTATGCTCATTTTGACAGACATGAGCGTTTCATATCTCAGTCCAGAGGCTTGAGAATAATGAGTCGTGGGGTGACAGACACAGCTCATTTGGTCCGCTCAAACAGGGGACTCACATGAGGGTCTCATGAAGGAATTATTATCAGGAATGAAGATAGAGATAATCTTTGGGCTGCCACTATTAACATCATCATCTGTCTTCTTAGATGTCAGTCAAGAGTGATATACTTTAACTAGTTGGACTTATTAAATAAGTTTAACTGTTCACCAGTTTGTTTCAGTCTTGACAACAACAACAATATGGCATGCCTTTTAATCCAATGGAAACAGAAAAGTCATCAGAGGATTAATTACTCATCACTTTGCTGTTCAACATTTTTGTTTATGAACCCCTTGGTGGCCCGAGGACACTTTACACTGGAGACATTTGAATATATCGATCTTGTCAGTTACTGACAGTGAAGATAATATGTAGGAAGCGTTTAGATGAAGTACAGACAGATGGAAACTGCACGTAGAAAACTCTTGACAGAAAAGCCAGGACATGCTTATTTTGTCACTCATTTAATTCAGTTCAATGAAAAAAAAAATATACAACATTTTTGGAGGGGCAGGGGGGCTTTATACCTTTATTTATGGGTAGTGGATACAGTAGAGGATGGAGAGAGTGGAGGATGACGTGCAAGAAAGTAGCGTGTCACAGCTGAACCTGGGCTTCCCACCTTGACGACTACAGCATTAACAACAACCACTAGTTCAACTGGCACCCGGTTCAATTAAATGTTCTTTCTAAAGCACATTTTATACCAAATCTGACAGTGGATTGCTCTCTCTGGGGGGCAGTGGGTGACTTAGCCAAGAATGAAGGAGTTTAGGTATCTCGAGGTCTTGTTCAGGAGTGAGGGTAGGATAAGATGTATCATAAGTCGTACAAACGTGTTTGTGCAGCGTCAGCAGTAATGCGGGTGTTGTACCAGGCCATTGTGTTGAAGATGGAGCAAAGCCTTATTTATAGGTCAATCTACATTCCAACCCTCAACTCACTTGTGGTCATGAGCTCTGGTTAATGACCAGAGAATGAGATAGATATAGGAGCCAAAATGAGTTTCCTCCAAAGGCTGGCTGGGCTTAGCCTTAGATATAGGATGACAAGCTTAGACATCTGGAGGGAGCTCACAGTAGAGCTCCTGCTGCTTTGCATCAAAAGGAGTTGAGATGGTTCAGGTATCTGATGCCTTCTGGGCGCCTCCCTTTTGAGGTTTTCCAGGCTTTTCCAAGAGCTTGCTGGAGGGATTATATTTCCAATCTGGCTTCAGAACACCTCAATCCTCCAGGAGGAGCTGGAAAACGTTTTTATGGAGAGAGACAGATAGGTCAACCTGGTTGCAACAATGACCTATCCCAAGATAAGTGAAGGAACATAGAGGGGTGGATAGATGTCATAATATCTCAATGTGAAAAATGGACAAAGGCAATAAGTTAAGAAAATATAGTTTGCTTTCAGTATGTCGTAATGGAAATGGAACTAAAATGTAGGGATTTATTTTGCTGTTGTAGGAAAACAAGTATGTCCAACAGGCAGGTTCCCCATCTTTTTAGTTTACTGTAGTTTAAAGGATTTATAAATAGTTTAGACTACCTCTAGAATAGAGGTTGCAAATAAAAATCAACTAGGAAAATGCCTTCTCTAAACTGATGAAGAGCAGGTAATTTGCAGGTAAACATAATGCTGAACTCTAAGCTTTTGTAATAATTTTAAATGCATTAAATAGAAACCTTTGGAGTATATTTAAATTAACATTTACTGAGGAATGTTTCACGACAAGCAACGTAAAAATCCAAAGAGTGTCTTGTGAAATGTAAGTGAAAGACTGAGACTTAATAATATTCTTGGGAAAAAACATTTTGGAAAATACGATGCAAGTTTTTAAACCTGGTGAACATAATGAAT